AACAAAATCCTTTCAACCACATCAGAACATGGATTAATCAAATGCCTATAAAGTTGATTAATTATTCAAACTAAGTGTGTGATGCTTAGTTGAGGAAGGGAAGGGGTTGTGGACGTTCCTTTGTAAAATGCCATAAAACGCATATGAATCTGCCTGCTTCATAGGCATTTGATGCATTGATAAAGACTTACATGGTTTATTTTTATCTTGGTCCAAGTTTATTCCTGTATGACAGCTCTGCTTCACCCCAGGTTTTAAACGAAACCAGTGTGTAATTGTCCCTTTTTAAAAGAATCTTCATTTAAATGAACCAAACGCTGGCTCACTCTTTGTTTCCCACTTTTTTATGATAGACTCTGACTGTAATTAGAACAGTTTTTTTGTTTGTTTGTTTGTTTAGTTGGTTATGTGTCCCGGAAGAGAACATCCTCTTGTAATCCTCATGTCAATCACTAAAAAAAAATAATAATAATCTGCGATGGACTGGCGATCTGTCCAGGGTGTACCTTCGCCTCTCGCCCAATGTGCACTGGAAATAGGCACCAGCTCTAAGCCATCATTTTTACTCTAAGTGAAGGAGAGAGCAAATTTTATAATCTTTCTTGTTTAAAATGTGAGTGAAAGATAATTTTCTCCTAGTAAACACTACATAAAACAAGAACAAACGGTAAAGAAGTTTCAGAAGTGACTAGAATCACAATCACTCCAAGAAGCAAACGTTCAGCTCTTAGACGATATCGCCCAGTAGCTCCGCGATACGTATTATGCCAATTTTGTATTGCCATGTATTGTGCCACAATATATTGTTACACCCCTACTATTTAATAATAATGAAAAAAAACTTTGCAAAACTTTTAACTTTGCATACACATTGATTGATTTGTTCGCTCTTATATGTCAACTGATCCAACGATTTTGGTCCCCCCCCCAAAAAAAACTTTTTGATACATCATTGTGGAGGAATCTGCAGAGTGAGATTATGTTCATGAAAAAGAAGCATGTTATGTGAAGTAAAATAAACAAACATGACTTACCTCTTCAGGAGAAACTGAAGTAAATATTTAATAATATCTCAGAGAAGACAGGAGAAAGCTTGATGTCCAAATGTTTACTAAGAATTAATGAATAGCACATTACAGATACCTGGGTTTGGCAAACTAAATTACACAAAGATAAAGCGGATCTTCAACCCCTGTCATGGGGTTCGTTAGCCAAACATGATCTCCCTTGTTCTTTTATCTGTCCTTTAAAAAAATGCTAATTAGTTTGGGGTGTAATTTTCCATTTGCCGCTGGCCTTTTTGCTGACTTGCGTGTTTTTCACCTCATGGAATGGTGGATTTTTTTTTTGATCCTCTGCACAGAGAAAAGGCACTCAAAGTAATAAAATATATTTATAAAAGCATCCTATTGATTCATGTCAAGTAATAAAAAATACAGTATTGTCACACTTTTATTCCCTCAGTTTAATAATACGCTTAATATCCGAATGATTATTACATAATAGATCACAAGGTTAGACAAAATGAAATTCTGGGGAGTTGCCTACATTACCCTTCAAAACAAAGCAACCTAGCTGGCTGCTCTTGAGTCTTTAATTCTCTCCAGCTCAAGTTTACCAGAGTTTGATTTTTGTTTTCTCCTCAGTTTGTTGTCTACCATTGAGCGCTTACATTTTGCTTCACAAATAAACACGCCCCTTCTGTTTACATAGTCAGCCCGAGGAACAGATTTCCAAGCTTTTTGAGATATCGCATGCCGGACCTTATCTCTTAACATGTTCAGATGTTCCTCTTAACATATTTCATCTTCTCACAGCACTTGAATGGGGTTTCAATCATTGACTGTATATAACAAGTATCAGAGACGTCACCCATTGGTTTCTGGCAAAGTGAAATGAGGATCAAAGTGGGTTTTGCCAGTCATCGCCTTCGTGAAAGTGTGTCAACTCCTGGTAATTGAAAAAGATACAACCGACAGTAAAATCTTAAAACAAAAAACACACAATTAGTAGCCAAGTTCCTCAGATGAAATTAGCTGGAATGAACATCAGACGATGACGCGTGACAGGCTGAAATAACTGTCAATCATCTCGCCATCTAGAAAACACGCCCTTAAATTATGCATAACTTTAAGGCTTAAAAATAGTGCCCATGAATGTCAAATCTAGAGATCTATAGAGCATAATTTTAGTTACTAGTACCATGTTTTTTAACTGCTAGTGCCCATTCTTATAGTACCGGTACTTGTTATTCAGTTACTTATGCTTGTTTGTTTGTTACTAGTGCCTACACTGTTAAAATATACAGAAAAAGAAATAAATGCTACACAAAGGCATGATGTTTTTATAATTATTTGAGTAATACCTTAAATTTAACAGTTACAATTATATTAAAATACTGTTTGCTTTCATAAAATATACAAATGACTGTATTATTGTACTTCTGTAAGAAGTCCACCGGATAACATGGATTTAGACAGCTATTAACCAAAAAAACAGGATTGGAAATTTTACAGTACAATCCTGTAAAACCAGTAACAGTGCTACTGTATATTTGATGGCTAACACGGCTGCCGGTTTATTACTGTCAAATTCACAGTCTTATTTTTACAGTACAATACTAGTGGAGCCAGGTGTGGAAACATGTTTTTTTTAAGTTACAGGAATTGCAGTTCAGTCACTTCCTGTTAGGCTTCAAGAGGGAAAGCAGGAGGTTGCCCCTTGGTTTCAATGTAACCACTTTAATGTAGTCCCCAGAACCCCTGCAGACACAGGGTTGTAATATTACTAGGTGGGACATTATGTGCCAGTTTAAATGAATTTGGCAAACTTTTATAAGTTTATAAAAGGATTTGTTGCTGGACCCAAATAATCCTCAGACTAATGTCGATCTGTTTTTTATATTCAAAGACAAAAAAAATGTACTTCAAATAAAACTTGTGTGTACGCACATATATATGTATTTTTTTGTTGACGCTGCAGAGTTTCTCGCCATCACACAGCGTTTGTTTAATCAGATGATGTCACATCCGCCGTTTAAGTCTCCTTGGAAGCGCTGGGAGCTGTGGCACGCGCGCAGCAGTCTGATGCTCGTGCGCGAATGGTGCGGTCATAAGTTTGGAGAGAGCGCGTTCACTGTTACCTGTTCGCGGGAGCTCGAGCGGCGGAGCAGCTCTGTAATGAATGGGCATCCATCCACCCTCTTCTTTTTGGGCACCATTTGCCTCTCCGAGGACTCGCTATTAACCCCAGAAAAGTGCGAGGAGCCGTGACAACATGAGCCTTCTGTTCGGTGCGTTAAATCCCCTGCTTCTCATCGTTCTCTTCGGACTGTATCCCTCCATGGTAAGCTCGGATGAGTTGTAAGCTATGGTTAACACGTTTCTTGATTTTCTTTTGAATACTGTGCTTTCTTTTTAGAATACAAATATACAAATGTGATTTTTTTCTTCTTCTTTATTTAGGAATTAATTGCATTTTTTGTTTTAATCTATTAATCCATGTCTTAGATTTTTTTTTAAAGTGAAAAGCTAAATTTTTTTTTCAATTTAAGGTTTGAAGTTTTTTAAGAGACCTGCTTTATTTGTTATATATGTTACAGGAACGCACAACAAACTCAAATGTCTCCTTTACTTGTTAAAAACAGCATTTCCTACTTGATATTTCGCCTGTGTGGGGTCCATAACATTGTACATGTATGATTTCATCATAACAGAGTGAACCTACAAGGCTTTATTACCAAATTATGGTTCACTGCCCACAACAGTTAATATAAAAAATAGCCTGTCGGTGTAAAAATGACAGTATATTCAGATTACAACTGGTACTGTTCATCAAGTAGAGGATTCAAAATACCAGTAATAAATCAACAAGCAAATCCAGGCAGAATGTTTGTATTTGATATATGAACATTAGCAACAAAACACAAATAAATAAATGCAATAAAGTATTTCAGTTTATAAGATGCTTATTAGACAACTCTTGAGTTCCATTCTAATAACACTGCAGTACAGAGTATGCACAAAAGCAAGGGATTAGAAGTTACAGTTAGAAAACATACAACACTCTGCCCATTGTTAAAACAAATAAAAAAACACAACTGAGAAAAAATCTACATTACAAATACAAACTGGCAAACAATGTAATTTTTTTTTGCATTTTGTTGGATTTACTCTGTTTATCTGTTCAGAGCTATCTTTAAAAATAAAGTGGTTTATTGCAGCAGATATTCATTTAAAGGTACAACTGCCGGAGTAAATCATGGCATGATGTGCAGTAGCAAGTGTGCTGATATAGGAGCCAGCAGGAAGTCTTGTGAAAAAGTACAAAAGTAATCTTAGTCCCTCTCACACAATGCAAGCCGCAGTAGGAGGGGTGTTTGAGGTGTTTGACAGCGATAGTGAATGGACATTAGCATAATGGCCTTCTAATTGCATCACAGTCACTTGTGGGATGAGTGATTGATGATGAGCAATTTGATTTGCTGAGATGCATTTTAATTGTGACAAATTGCATTACACACCTCCGGGATACAGGTTTTTAAAATCATTAGAGGCCAACTCCCATTTTACGCTACTTTTTTTTTTTTTTTTTTTTTTTACAAAGGTCAAATCTCTATTTTCCTTTGAGTTAATAAGTTGTGTTTTAGCATTTAAGCCGTTCTCCAGATTTTTAACATTGCTTTGGCATAGATCATTGAATCCAATATGACCAGTAGCATTTCAGAATAAAATTATCAAATATTTTTTACCACTCTTTAAATTTTAACTCTTAGTTTTACACTGTGTTGTAATACCAGCAGAAAATGAAACATTGATACTTTGTAGGCTGAGGTCTCTAGATCTATGCTCGATTGTGGCGTTAAAGGCAAGGAATCGAGCCTAAATCTCAAAATGTAATTTCTGCGTGTATAATAATATGCATTTGCCAGATGCTTTTATCCAAAGCGACTTACATTTGAAGCAATTAACATGTCGCTTGAAAATTTGCAGGGAAATTATTGCTCTCCCTGGAGTTTGAACCCATGACCATTGCGCTGCTAGCACAATGCTCTACTGACTGAGTCACAGGAAAGCTATGCAATATATTAATATGAAGACTCTGCTCAATTTATATTGAAATGCTACTGATCTGACTGGATTCAATGATCTAAGCTAAGCCAAAACTGCTAGATATGAATAATTTCCCAAATTGATAAAATACTACTTACTATGTAAGTGGAAAATGCAGAATTAAATATGAAAAATTTGAGCTTTTTAATTAATTTATTTTTTCCGATTTGTGCAATGTGACAAGCTAGAGTTTTACATTTATTATTATTTGCCAGCAAACCGAGAGTACATCCAAATATTGATACGCATAACATGAGAGGTTTTGCAAAGCAAAATCAGGAGCTATAATCCAATTTTTCCAGGTCGATTATTTCAATTAATTTTGCTTTAAAAATGTGCTTTCATTTCAGTTGTTCATTTATTGATGTTCAATAAACAGTTATAGATAGTAGATAGTGTGTGTTTCCTTCAGTCATTTGAATAATGAATTAATGTTCATTCTAAAATCTCTCACTTGTGATATGTAAGTATATTTACTGTACCAAAGTAGTTTCTGTGAACTATGAGACCAAAAATAATAATTATATAAAATAATAATTCAATAATCGTAATCAAGCTAAAATTTTCAATTTGGTCAAATAGCCTGAACTCAGCATACTCAGACTATTTAAAAACTCAGGAAATGTTTGCAGACAATTTAATTTAACCTGACTAAAATTCACAGTATGTGTATTTTGTTTACACTTTAGTGAAAAGTTTAATACGATAATCTTATAATGTACTTATAATCCATTCAATAGATTTCAATAGTGTATATTACTGGATAGACTGGGAATTCTATCTACTATCTGTAAGGAAACCCGAGAAATGTAAGATTTCTATTGACCGTGGGTTTTGTTAATCAGCACTTGAAGCAAAGCATTGCACCAACCAAAAGAATATCAAGTGCTGAAGTATTTTCCCATTTTCACCATTTGAGACACCAACATATACAGCCAGCTCCACATTGGGAAATGTTTTAGAATAACTATATAAAATGAAATAGATATTGCCGGAAACATTATAGTTCCCAACATCAGGAGAAACACGGAAGTCCATTTAAAAGACATGATCATTAGTAGCTGTGGTCTGTGTACATTTCCTCACTTCTTTGATAAAATGCATGCTATATTTTTAGAAATATAGCTGTCAGAGAGATGTGTGTGACTTTTATTATTGAACCTGTGGACGCGGATGCATATGCGTATACTGTGACTGAATGAATAAACCAATCAAAGCATAAAGTATATGCTCTGCTAAGCTCTGATGTAAAGCATATTGTCTAGTATGTACTCAATTCATTCAAAATTTCTATTCACTCTAAATTATACGACAAACCATAATGCCCACTTTATGCAAACTAGAGATGTGCCACCACAGAAAGAGGTCAAATTTGATCAAATCTATGAGTGAATGCACTGGTGAATCAAATGAAGCAAACTATAAAGTTTGTTTATAAATAATTTGCCATTCTAAACAGATTCAGAATAAAAGTTGATTTCTGACATGTGACCTCCCCTAGCAATGCTTTTAAATTAACCCACACATTTTGTACTGTTTTTTATTTCCAACTAATGTTTTTCCCTCAATTTCTCCACAAAAATAATCATGTTACATATTCGGTTTCCAGTTCATTCTTTAATGTTTCCAAAAGTTTGCACACAATCTTTAATGTCAGCTTTTATGTCACAATGAGGGACATAAACAAACCCCCATTGTAAACAGCCTGGTTACTATGGAGGGGTCATTGACATAATGCATATTGATCCCTGTGTCACTACAAGTAAAATAAACCAACCCCTATGTTTCTATGATTTTCCAAAACTGAGATAGAGATATCTTAAATTGGTTGCTATGGTGAAAAACCTGGTTGCTATGAGAGGATCAGTTGCATAATATAATGTTGTCACTTATTTAAACCAACCCCCCTCTATCATATATCAAAACTGAGATTAATAGAGAAAGGTCCAGGGCAAACAGTCTGGTTGCTAGGCAGCTGTCAGTGATGTCATAAAAATGTAAGCTGTTACTATGATTCAAATAACACAATCCACATTTCGTTGTGATGTTTTATCTTGACAGTATTTTCGTTGCATTTTCCAGTTTAAGTCAATGGTAAATATTTAACCCGTTCTAGAGCCTGGGGTTCAAATGATTTGACACAGTGATTGGTCTGCCTTTGCATAAGTGTGATGAATTTGAAGTTTTTCATTTTTAAAAGTAAATCCAATGTTTAGTCAACGAAAATGTACAGCATTCTCAACCATTTCCTGGAATTTCCTGAAGATATAGCAACCTGAGTCAGACCACTTTGGATGTCTTGGTAACCGTAGCTTGTTTGGTAGGGGTAGCTTGGAGATATGTCTGAGGCCAGAGTTAATTATCAACTGGAAGATTTCTCTGTAAATATATAATGAAGGAAGGTTGATCAGCAAAATCTGGGGGTCAGAAGTAATGGTAACAGTATTGTAAACATTGTAGCTTTACACTATTTTAAGAGAAGGAAATCATGATGTTTTCAAATTATCTTTTGCATAAACCAAAGAAAGTAAAAGCATTGGTTCAACACATATTCCCCTGTGTTGGTCCTTTACATCGAAACAATGATTAATACAAACACCAATTTACAACGGAAGTTTGTGTGGACATCTTTGGTGAATAACATCTATAAGCTATTTAACTTACAATATTAATAATGAACCATAAATTCAACATTTGACCCTCAAACTCAATTGAAATAACAAGGACTATGAGAGTCTTCACCTTTCATGAGCTTTGGTTTAATTAAGGACTGTTTAAATAGGGGTGTGGTAATAATGCTATGAGGTGTAGTCAATAAATAGCTCTCCTTTGGCTCAGTTTGTAGAGCATTGCGCTAACAACGCAAAGAATGTGGGTTCATATTCCAGGGATAGCAAGAATTAACCATTTAAAAAATAAATAAAAGTTAATTCTTTCAAATGTTAGTCGCTTCGGGTAAAAACAGTCCAAAAATATCTTTTTTTGAATTTCTGTCCAACATAGATATGAATTGCCCTAATGTGTTCAATCCAATAATTTAAACTGTTTATATATTATTTTAAAGCTTATGTAATTAATGAATTTATTCACTTGAAAACTAATGCTTCACATGTACGTCATCATTTACGGACAGAAGAGTGGAACCAGCTTTGCTTCTAAACTGTAAAATATGAGTAGCTTTGTATATTGAGCAGCTGATGAAAGAAGTTATTATTGAAAATAATCGTTGGACAAAAAGCTCAGTTGGGAAGCTTGACCTCAGATGGTAAGCTTTTCAGTGGTCATCTCAGGTGAACCCTTGAAACCTCCCTTTCTTTCTTCATCCTCTCCTGCAGTCCATCATGGTTTTGTTTTTGTTTATTTTTTCATCCTTGGATTCGGAGCGAATGGTAACGCTTCTAGAATATCAACTCAGTGACTCAACCATTCGGACATCAACGCTGGGGAAATGGACCAGTAACAGATCAATGGATTAGTAGAAGGAAACAGCCATTATTCAGACTGACACGGACATGCCCACTTTATGATGTCATCCACTTTCAGATCCAGTGTTCGATAGATGCTCAATAAATAAAGGGGGTTTTATGATGTAGTCTCCTTGGCTTTACGGCTCACCTAACATTTTTATTTAATTCATCACCTGAAAAACTGACATCTAAGGATAATGGCTCATCGGTCAGACCGTATTAGTCTGTAAAAGTACTCCCCGAGTATTGCCAGGAGTTCCAATAATATTAATCACACCATGTGCTTTAGTATTCTGCCGTTGGTGTGTTAATTGGCATCAAGGTTGAGAATGAGAAACGTATGACTATTCATTTTCCCAGTACATAAAGAGAAAATATATCTATATTTTTCTTTGGAAATGTAATGAACTTGTTATATATTGTTATATATAAGTTAACAGCCTTGTAGCTACATTAATGAACCATCTACAATATTAATTACTTTGTATGAAACTTTAGGTTGTGAAATAGATGGTGTGACTACTGCAAATGTTTACATCTGCCCTAGTTATTTTTGACACTTTGATGAAAATAAAATGTCCTATTCATTAAATCATGACACAATTGAAGGTTTCACAAATGGATTCATCTTGTATTGGGTGCTTTAGGCTTTCAAGATAATGGACATCATGTTATTAATGTATCCCCTTTCAGAATTCTTCCAATTGTGTCAAAACACATCTTATGCAAAAAAAAAAAACCTTTATTCTCATTGTGATTAAGTTTCTGTTGAATAAAACTGATTATATTGTGATTACAAGGTGAGAGCATGAGCACCATTATTGCTGAGGTTTAAACCACAGCCATTTTAGATTAAGTACAGTACTGTGGAAAAGTATCAGTAAACGCAGATTTAAAAGCTAAATAGCTTACTGTGTCTTGCTCACAAGTTTCCTTGGCTGGCCATTGCCTTTACGATCCTCAATTTTGCTCATTTTTTGTGCTACTTTGACCAACACATCTTAAAACCCAGTCTGCTTTGTCTGGGAGAGACCTTGTTGGTGTAGAAAAGCTACTTTGTGTCTTGTTGCTGTGCTCAATTTAGACATGACAAGAAGATGTTTTTCTCAACATCCCTGTGGTTGTCTTGTCTCCTACACAGCTGTATCTTTTTCAGTCCTTGACTTGGGTTCAACCTACTTTGATGAGCATTAGCATATGTTGGTATAATTTGTGAATCCCAAAAAGTAACTTTGCATTTTGATTCGATTTCAATTTGTGTTTTGTTTTCCACTGTTGCGACTGGTTTTAAGTGGAGGAGAGTGTGGAGGGCAATTTCAATGCAAAACGAAAAAGAGTTTCAACCACAGCTACAATTGTATTAATGTATAAACAAACAAATATTTAACATTAAAAAAGGAAAAGGTGGAAAAAAATTAACAAAACTCACTACAAAAATTAACCAGTCCCCTAATTTTGAAGTGTAGAACTACAATACGACTTCCCCAAACTTCAAAA